AGCTGGTACGCTCCTGCGAGGGATGTCAGTACTATGCACGGCAGACGCACCTCCTGGCTCAAGCCCTCCAAACCATCCCCATCACGTGGTCATTCGCCGTGTGGGGACTGGACATGGTTGGGCCTCTGCAGAAAGCCCCCGGGGGCTACACCCACTTGTTGGTAGCTATTGACAAGTTCTCCAAGTGGATCGAGGCTCGTCCGATCACTCAAATCAAATTCGAGCAAGCGGTATTGTTCTTCACTGATATCATCCACAGGTTCGAGGTTCCAAACACCATCATCACCGATAATGGGACACAATTCACCGGTCACAAATTCCTGACGTTCTGCAACGACCACCACATCCGTGTGGTTTGGTCAGCCGTAGGACACCGTAGGACGAACGGCCAAGTAGAACGTGCCAACAGCATGATTCTACAGGGCCTCAAGCCAAGGATATACAACCGGTTGAAGAAATTCGGCAAGAAATGGCTGGCCAAACTCTCGTTGGTCATTTGGAGCCTAAGGAACACCCCGAGCCGAGCCACGGTGTTCACGTCGTTCTTCCTGGTCTATGGAGCCGAGTCCATCCTCCCCACTGACTTGGAGTACGGTTCTCCAAGGCTACAGGCCTACAACGAGCAAAGCAACCGCACTACCCGTGAGGACGCCCTCGACCAACTGGAGGAAGCTCGAGACGTTGTGCTGCTACATTCGGCCAAGTACCAGCAAGCCCTACGACGCTATCAAGCCTGGCACATTCGAAGCCAAGACCTGAAGGTGGGCGACCTGGTGCTGAGATTGAGGCAGAGCAACAAGGGCCGCCACAAGTTGACCCCGCCATGGGAAGGGCCGTACATCGTCGCCCAAGTGCTAAAGCCCGGGACCTACAAGCTAGCCAACGAGAAGGGCGAAATCTTCACCAACGCTTGGAACATAGAACAGCTACGTCGTTTCTACCCTTAAACTTCCAAGCATTGTATACATTGTTTCTTAAAATATATTAAAGAAGCGTTCTTTAGTTGTTCTAATTTTTTTAGAACCCCCCCCCATTGACGGGGGATCGACGTTGCGATAATGTTATAAGCAAGACTCGGCTCTGCCTCTGCAGAACCGAGCCTCCCTTGGGGCTAGAAGGGGGGGACCCCCTAAGTCCCAGGCACTATTTTTTAATCGCTTTTCGAATAAATTTCTACGCCAAACTCTCTCGCGTTTTTTGACAGGTCGATTGTAAAAAACATAAGGACCGAAAGCGTGCCTCGATGGCAAAAGGCCGGCCAAGCCGCGAGACTGCCTACGCCTCTGGGCTACGGCAACTCCCTCACCACCTTTCGTCGGAGGGGCAGCTTAGGCTCAGAGGAAGTTTTTTGCAAAGGACTTGTCTAGAAACGGGGCAGAGGGCAGAGGCTCGGAAATACAATAAAACGATTAAAAAAGCGTACGCACACAAGTACTTTATAAAGGCCTCGACGACCACAAACGTCACGATACGACAATAACTTAATCCGTTTACATGGCCCTTTTGGCCCAGGTCAAGGCTCAGGGTCTTGTGCATCGGTGGCTGGCGTGGGAGGAACCACCTCTTCTTCGAACAGGCTAGCCAGCGCCGTGCTAGGGGCCTCAGCCGCCTCCATCAGCTTCGTGACCTCCTCATCGGCCTCCTTGTCATCATCAGGCAAGACGTAACCATCGCTGACGGCCTCGAGGTTGACGGCGTAATGCGAGGAGACGACGGCCAGGGCGCGCTTAACGCCCGTATGCAACGCCCCCTGAAGTCGCTCGTGCACTTGGCCACTCAATGCAGTCAGGCGGCTCCTAAGGGAGCTACCCGACTAGACCCCCTCAACCTCCAGGGCCTCGCAGATGGTACGGGCTGCGCTCTGCAGCGCGTCGTGCTCCCCGATCTCGGCCTCGAGCGCCGCCTGCACTGCGGCTAAGGCCTTCGCCACCCAGGAAGCCTCCTTTTCCAACACTGCGCCAAAATAAGCAGGATGCGGTTAAGCGTAAAAGAAAAATAGGCCAGACAGGGGCAAAGCCCTACGGGACTCACCCTTGGTTTTCTTTTTCCAGCGCTGGACTTCGACCTGAGAGGCCTCGGCCCTCTCTTTCCAGTGCTGGACCTCGACCCGAGAGGCCTCGGCTGCCCTGGAAGCCTCTTCCTCCAGCTCTGTACCACATCGGGGAGTTAGGGGCCGAACGCAAGAAAAACAAGTAAAATAAAGGGAACAAAACTCACCCTCGTACTTCTCCTTCCAGGCCAAGGCATCGACCCGGGAGGCCTCGGCCACCTTGAGGGCCTCGTCCAGGGCACCCTTCATCAACAGATGCGCGCCCTGCTCCGCCCCTAACTGCCCAGCGACGGCCATGGCAGAGACCGTTGCCTCTTTAGTCTAGGACCTGAAGGTGTCCCATTCACCGGCAACCCGGGTCAGCTCCTCCTCGAGCTCTTTGATCCGCACCACCAAAGGGGCGGCCTGCTCTCGAGCCGTGGCCACCTGGGCCTTCATATCTGCACAGCGAAGGCGGAGGTCCTCCGCCTCTGTGCTCCACGCTGACAGAAGCTTGTTGGCATTGGCGAGCAGGTCCTTCTGCTGCCCGAGCTGGTCCTAGATGTCCCTCTCCTGGCGGAGGAACAACGACTTCCCGAGGGACCGGGCCTCGAGCTCCTGGGTAGACAGAACTAGGGTCATACGCTGCGAGGAAACTCAGAACAAGACGACATCGCACGAGAAAAGAGAACACGTACCTGGGCGACGTCGGGCAAATCGTCGTCCATGACGGACATCATTGTCCGCAGCGACCGCACCGCCAGCTGGCGATATTGCTCGAAGGAGCCCCGGCGCCCCCCCTCGACCGTGTCCTCGAGGGCGAACAGAGGCTCCCCTCAGGGTCGTCCCGGCTCAGCCACGATACACGCGGGTGATCCCACCCACGGGGCTCGGGTCGTACCCGCACGAGGGCCGAGCTTCCTCGCGAGGCTTGAGCTGGGCTGCTCATGGCGGTCGACCGCCTCGGCATTTGCCGCCTCCTTCCCCCGGGAAGTATCGTCGGAAGAGGTTGCCTGAACCTCCACCTCCCGGGCGCTCTCTGCGGCGGAGGTAGGTCTTGACCTGGGCGGCACCAAAGCTTGCCCCGCCTCCATCTCCAGATCCGGGCACGCCGGGTCCCGCGCTTCGCCCGACCACCTCGGCCTCGATGGCTCGGGAGCCCCCGGCGCGGCGCCTCGACTTGAGGAGCCACGGCCTCGGCCACCTCGGCCTCGGAGGTCTTGGGCGCCTCCTCCCACACTGCTCGTGGCCGCTTGGGGAGCCTCTTCTTGGGCAACCAGCCCCCCAGTCAGCCCGGGCCTCCGCCCGCCAGCACCCACTGGCTGGCTCGTGCCTCTCCGCCGCCCGGTGAGCGGTGGAGCTGGTGCTCACCTTGAGTGCCTTACGTGGCGCCAAGGCAGGTACCTCCACCTGACGCTTCTGGCTGGAAGCAAAAACACTCCCAAGGTCAGCGTACGACCAAGGGGCGAGCGGGAGATACTACAAACTTCGCCAAAAAGGCACTTACCGCGAACGGGGTAGGCGACTGATTCACCTCCCCCCCTTTTCCCCCTTCTATCAATCAATATTTAAACAACGATTCATATTGGCCATAAACTTTCTCTCTCAGAATAGGTCATTTTATCGTTCTTATACTGTCTCCAACACCGCGCCCCAAACGCATATTTGCGTCCCATACGGTGTTTTAGGTACCAGAATCGGCCTCCAACCGATGACCAATACGCAAGACGCAATTTGCGTTCGAGGAGAGAGGAGACGTAAAGTTGAGTCGTCCTCCATGCTTGACGAATCTGTCGGCGCCGCCTCTCTCGCTCTCTCTCTCTCCTGGCCCGAGGAGGCGAGGCGGAGTCAGGCCTGAGCCAGCCCGCCGGAGGAGGAGAAGCTGCTGACGAGGAGCCATGGGGGGGCTCTGGGCGCGGGCGCGCGGGAAGAGGAGAGGGTCGCAGCGAGGAGGCGGAGAAGCTACGTGACGGGGAGCATGGCGGGCCCCCTCCCCGGCTGCAGGCAGGGAAGAGGAGAGGGTCATGGGGAGGAGGCGGGCGCTCATGAGGCGGTCGGAGATGGCATCCCGCGCCATTGTCTCCTCCTCCGTGCAAGAGCGGGCGCCTCGAGTTCGGCTCCGTCGTGCCTGGCCCTCCATGGCGCCACACCTCCTTTTAAGGCCTCATGCTGTTGGAGATTCAAGACTTGGGTGCGGGATGTATTTTACTGTGCGTGACCTATACCGTGGAATGAGTTTTGCTTTTGGGTACTCATTGTTGGAGATAGCCTTACCGGACTAGATAAGTAATTGGATTCGTAACTGAACACAATTTATTGTCTGCATTTTGCAGGTGATGGTTATGTAGTAGGACCTCAAGCCATGGCTTATAAGTCATGGCTGAAAGTACTGTTGGTTGGTTTGGTGTGAGAAAAATATTGTTCGTTGGCTGATAAGCCATGGCTTATAAGTCAAATACGACCGAGTGAACATGCTGGTAATTTGCACGGCAGCCTTCGTCTGACCATCTGGCGGTTGGTTGTCACACATGCATGAGATGAAGGTTTCTGATTGTCAATTGTCCTTGAGGATTTGCATTTTTGGCGCGCTCTCTAGTATTTCTGGTGTGTTTTAAGCTATACCCCTGAGTTGTATTGAGTATGCTGGATAGTGGAGATGTGTAGATGAAATTGTGATGGATAATATACATATGCATGTGAGTAGTTGTGTGAGCCTTAAGATGTCTTATCTAGGTTGCATAAGAACAAGTCGGATTAACTAGTTCACAGGACGCCACATGCTCCTTGAGCGGGGATCGGCCGAGGCTAGTCATGGAGGGTGACAGTGTTTAGAGGGTAGAATCACCATCATTGTAAATTTGCAGTTGGAAATCACTGACTGTAAGCGATATTTCCAGCGGCTGAGCAAAAAGACTACCAAAACCCAAATCAAAATTTGCGCAAAAAAGCACACTCCCGCGCCGCGGCGAGTATGCCGCGCCCACCGATGCCACCGTCCGCACTCCCGCGCGGCGCTCACGCCGTCCTCGTCACCTCAGGCCACCTCCGCCACCTCGATCCGCACCTCCAGGTCCCCCCTCTCCTCCTCGCCAACTCCCTCATCGCCGCCTTCTCCCGCGCGGCCCTCCCGCGCCTCGCGCTCCCGCTCCTCCGCCGCCTCCTCGCAGGCGCGCACCCGCTCCGCCCCGACTCCTTCACCTTCCCGCCGCTCGTCCGTGCCGCCCACGGTCCGGCCTCTGCCGCGCAGCTCCACGCCTGCGCGCTCCGGCTGGGGCTCCTCCACCCCAACGTCTTCGCTTCGGGCTCCCTCGTCCACGCCTACCTGCGTTTCGGCCGCGTCGCGGAGGCGTACAGGGTGTTCGACGAAATGCCTGATCGGGACGTGCCCGCGTGGAACGCAATGCTGTCTGGGCTGTGCCGCAACGCCCGGGCCGCGGACGCGGTTGCGCTGTTCGGGAGGATGGTCGGCGAGGGGGTCGCAGGGGACGCCGTGACGCTCTCGAGCCTCCTGCCAATGTGCGTCCTGCTCGGGGATCGAGCGCTTGCTCTGGTCATGCACGTGTATGCGGTGAAGCACGGGCTCTCTGGCGAGCTATTTGTGTGCAATGCCTTGATTGATGTGTACGGGAAGCTAGGGATGCTAGCGGAGGCTCGTTGGGTGTTTGGTGGAATGGCATTACGGGATCTGGTCACGTGGAATTCGATCATTTCAGCATATGAGCAAGGTGGGAAGGCTGCTGCTGCGGTCGAGCTGTTCCATGGTATGATGGAAAGTGGGGTTTCCCCTGATGTGCTAACACTCGTTAGCTTGGCATCTGCCATTGCTCAGTGTGGAGATGAACGTGGTGCAAAGTCGGTGCATTGCTATGTAAGGAGGCGGGGCTGGGATGTGGGTGACATCATTGCCGGAAATGCGATGGTTGATATGTATGCTAAGCTGTCAAAGATTGATGCTGCCCAGATGGTATTTGATAACTTGCCTGATCGAGATGTTGTGTCTTGGAATACATTGATTACAGGGTATATGCAGAATGGACTTTCTAATGAGGCAATCAGGATATATAATGATATGCAGAATCATGAGGGTCTGAAGCCGATTCAAGGGACGTTTGTCAGCGTTTTGCCCGCATACTCGAACCTTGGTGCATTGCAGCAGGGAATGAGAATGCATGCGCTGTCGATTAAGACTGGATTAAATCTTGATGTGTATGTCAGTACTTGTCTGATAGACTTGTATGCTAAATGTGGGAAGCTAGTAGAAGCAATGCTTCTGTTTGAGCATATGCCTAGAAGGAGCACAGGTCCTTGGAATGCCATCATAGCTGGTCTTGGGGTTCATGGGCATGGTGCAAAGGCACTCAATCTCTTCTCACAAATGCAACAAGAAGGAATTAAGCCTGATAATGTCACGTTTGTTTCATTATTGGCTGCCTGTAGCCACGCTTGGCTTAGTTGATCAAGGTCGGAGTTTCTTCGATTCGATGCAAACTGTTTATGGTATTGTGCCCATTGCAAAGCACTATGCATGCATGGTAGATATGCTTGGAAGAGCTGGTCAGTTGGACAAAGCTTTTGAGTTCATACAAGGCATGCCAATTAAGCCTGACTCTGCTGTTTGGGGCGCACTGCTTGGCGCCTGTAGGATTCATGGGAATGTTGAAATGGGTAAAGTGGCCTCACAAAACCTATTTGAACTTGATCCCAAGAATGTTGGATATTATGTTCTGATGTCGAACATGTATGCAAAGATTGGGAAATGGGATGGAGTTGATGCAGTAAGGTCTTTGGTCCGCGCCAGAATTTGCAGAAGACCCTGGATGGAGTTCAATGGAGGTGAAAGGGTCAGTGAGTGTATTTTACAGTGGCACACAGACAGAACCCCACCCTCAGCATGAAGAAATCCAGAGAGCGCTACAGAACCTTTTGGCCAAGATGAAAAGTGCAGGCTATGTTCCTGACTACAGTTTTGTCTTACAGGACGTAGAGGATGATGAAAAGGAACAGATCTTGAATAATCATAGTGAGAGATTAGCTATTGCCTTTGGCATTATAAATACTCCTCCAAGAACGCCGCTCCATATATACAAGAATTTGCGGGTCTGTGGGGATTGTCACAATGCTACCAAATATATATCAAAAATAGCTGAAAGAGAGATCATTGTCCGGGATGCAAACCGGTTCCACCACTTTAAAGATGGGCACTGCTCTTGTGGAGACTTTTGGTAACAGTTACACATAATATATTATTTTCCCTTGTACAACATTTTCTCTCCCTGAGTTTGCCTGGTCATGAAATGTGACTTGATGTGTTGATGAGGTTTAGGACTGAACTGAAGTATTTTGCTGATGCCAAAAGATAGAATGGTTTAATGCTTTGTCTTGCAATACAGCTGCCATATATCCTTGATCTGGTAGTGAATAACTTCGATTGAAAATGTGTTGCAGTTTTTCTTAACAGAGTTAGGCCTTTTTTTTATCTTGGATCTTCTGGTGTTGAACCTGAGAAAATGAGTAGTTTTTGTATAGTCTGATGCTAGTGTGCAGTTTTTGCCCTGCTGCCTGCCTTGTTCTTTTGGCACTTTGTCATATTTTAATACAACATCCTGGGTGATTTTAGAGGATAGAAGCATCTAACATCTGTAAAATTCGATATGTACTTCTGCATACGGTACATTTCTGGTAAAGTATCTTATACAGTTTCTGCAGACCTTAACAAACTTAATCATGAGATGTACTTGCCAAAATTGGAAGACCGCTACTCTAGAAAAAGAGAGACAAAAGACTTGAAAACACACTTTGGTAAATCTGGTCGCTGTTCTGGAAAGAAACAAATTGTCTCTGAAGTCTGTGAGCTTCGCGCTTAAATCTGTTCTTTCTTTACAGTTTCATGTTTACAAACTGTCACTGTCTCATTATTTTGCTCCAGACTGATAATGGACAAAATAATGACGCTCTCAATCTACAATACATAAAAAAAGGGCGTACCCAGTGCAGAGAGCTCCCGCTCTGTGCGGGGTCTGGGGAAGGGTGTCAGTGGCAAGCCTTACCCTCGCCTGTGCAATGCGAGGAGACTGCGACTCGAACCCGGGACCCACAGGCGGTAAGACTCTACCGCTTGCACCAGGCCCGCCCTTCCTCTCAATCTACAATACATCAGACAGAAAAACCTTTTCCTTTTGCATGACCACCCAGTTCTCTGCAACCAAATTGTGTAGTACTGTATGTCTGTACATGTCCAATCACACCTGTTGTAAAAAGAGGGAAATAAATGGAGTAAATGGAGCTGTCAAACTTGGATGAGGTAACACTGGGTGAAGGTTTGCCACATGTCCAACATGGAATGGTTGAGGAATCATTTACTAAATAAAGTACCTTCTGGCTTTTGCATTAATGCCATAAACTCCTATGAATTATTGCAGGACATCCAAATGGTGAACTGTTGCTGGGGCCCACCTTGCTGCGTTATTATGCACAGTTTGGTAATGTGACCTGGTATAGAGAGCTCTAGCGGTGGCAGAAGACAAACCCAAATGGAGGTGCTTCTTTCTGGGTAGCACTGAGGAACTGATGACAGTATGGGGCACTGCTGCTTGAGCTAGCTGCCACTTTCATCTTTTATGGATCTTAGCCATGAGTGTTGGAATTGTGATATATCAGAACCATGTTAGATGTTTGTTGCTTGTATTGTATTTTTTCAACAGTAGTTTATTCTGCAATACAACATGGCTGCTGGGTCTAAGAATAGATGGCCCTGATAGCAACAGTTTGTTTCATTAGCTGTCTGCAAGTATAGTGCTCTCCAGGAGTTCCCTAGTGCTGTGACTATTCCAAGAAAATGCTGGGGTACCACATCCTTGTTACCAAACTGTAAGGCTTTGAAAATGGATTGCTTTACTACTAGATCTAGTGATGTATTTTTCTGTAGAGTGAGAATACCAATAACTAGTATGATTTATTTTCTTTTGGACAACTAGAGATGATCATATCCAACCTTCACTATGCTCTTGTTTATATTTATATCAATTATACCAAGAAAAATAACTTTAGTATCTTTTATGAGGTCATCTGATTAGAATCTTTATGTTTGCAAATTGCAAGTGTGTTTAATAACAAACTTCTCATATGATGTACTTATGGATATTGGCTGAGTTCACGTAGCCATAATGTACAATCGTAATGCCTGATGTATTTTTCATCAGTATAAGTTGGTGCATTGTTTTTATTTGCAGGAAGTGTTAATGATATGGTAGATCTTTATGTTGGCTACTCCTATAGCTACCATGTGTTTTTCAGTTGATTTTTTAGGCTCTGATACTGTGTTTGACCTGGTTTAGTTACATTAAGCTAGTTCATTGTCTGATTGTAACTATTTGGGAACATGCATATAGTATACAACATAACTTAGTTGACCTGGTTTAATGAACTAAACCAGGTCAAACATAACTTAATTCATTGTCTGGTTTAGTTACATTAAGCTAGTTAATGAACTAAACCAGGTCAAACATAACTTAAACCATTGTCTGATACTATGTTTGACCTCGTTTAGTTACATTAAATTAATTCATTGTCTGGTTTAGTTGATTTTGTAAACTTCCTAACATAACTTATTTGGGAACATGCATATAGCATACAACATCTGTAAAACACTGCCTCACCTTATATTGTCTGATTGTGCTGAATTAATTTGCTGTTGCAAACTGAACTGACTGAAGCTTTTGTTTCTGGAAGGGAGCCAGGTGATTGGTGTGGCGTGATTACAGTACTACTCCACACAACTGTTTACAGTATTGAATTGTCAAGCTTGCAGAGCTGAGAAAGGTCACTGCTGAGCAGTGAGCGGTGTCCGAGGGAACATTAGAAAAAGGCTGGTCAGCTTCGTGTTGGAGATACTCGTACATTCTATGTTTGCACTTTTATGGTTACAAAATTCCAGCCAATATTCTTTTGTTTCAGGCCTGATACATGTGTCTCCAGGAGGAGATAGCATTGTCGGGCGGATCTGTCTCCTGGTCAGGCCGATATGGAACTGCCCAGCGAGAGTTGGTATGAGTTAATGAGTAGACCCTTGGGTGACGATCACCTCGTGGTCTCGGATACCCTCCTAATGCCATGTGGTGAACTTTTCCCTGCAGGTTCCACACGCCGCCTTATCCGCCGCCTGTTGGTGTGACGTTTTCTGAAGGAACCTTTGCTGCAGCACAAGGATGGCAACTTCACAAGGCTGAACTCAGGCGCCTCTCCTGTTGGGTGACAACGTGGTATGGTAAGGGCACATGGAAGCAGAGCAGCTCCTTGTGGCCGCATTAAGGTATTATACATGCCATACGTTGCTCCGAAACCATGAATGCCGTGCTAGTTGCTAAGTTCACCAATGGTCGTTCTTCATTCTGGTTGGGCTTTTCGTGGAGATAGATATACCTGCCCCCACATTACGAGACAGCAGGACAGCCATGTGTAATACAGTATATACATGTGTTTGTCCAGGTGAAGACTACGAGAACCGAATGGTCGAGGGTGCCCCCATTCGTCGTACTCCAGTTTTGCTACGTCGCGGCAGCCCATGTACGCTGCCGGCTGGGAAGATCGCAGCAGGTGGGACTGTGGCAGCAGATGCATGCATGCTTGGTTCTGCTTTGCATTGGCCAGGTACATTGGAACTGTTGGGGTGCACGGCGTTGCCGTCCGGGTGTGGCAGTCGCTTGGGAACGGTTCCCTTGGGAACTGGGCATCTCTGTTGCAAAGTTCAGTGTTGTGCCTGTCGGGACTCGGGAGATCGCCTGGCTGAAAACACTGTAGCTGACTGGGAGTCTGAAACCCGGATGGAAGCGACTTCTCCCGCCCAGCGTGCCGTCCGATGCTTGAGCTTCGCTCAAAGGCCTCCTCTTGTCTTGTGGGTATTTCGACGACGCTGGTATATTCCTAGCGCAAACTTTAGCTCAGCTGTACTGTTTGGAACTTGGAAGGCGTGAATTTTTATCTATTTTGTACTATGATTTTCATGTGAAATAGAACCGATTCCTACAAAGCTTTCAAATGGGCCCTCAATGGATAAAGAGTACTAGGAAGCATTTGGATGCTTGTTGAGTTGCTGGGCCGAGACTCGGAGCAGACGAAGCAGGAACGCAATGTCAGTCGCCCTCAGTGATTTACAAAGCCTCCAGTACCATGATACTAGTGACCAAGTTGGTCAAGTCTCCAGGTGGCGTCTCCCGTGATCAGAGTTCGAATTCTTGGTTGACGATTTTTTGGTCAACGGTGTGGAACCCCCCCCCCTCCTCGCCTATCCCGCGTTCCCAAAGCACAGAAAAAATGGACTGGCTCTCTTATCGGGTAACAGACCCCCTGTGTGCGGGCAGGGTATGGGGTTCGAAAGTTTTCTTGGGCTGAATGAGAAGTCATCTACCTTAAGCTAAAATAGCTCGGGGTGTCTACCCCCGCAGTCCAAGTTTTTTTAGAGTAAAATGCACCCTGGGTCCTTAAACTTTTAGGCCATTTTCATCTGGGTTCTCAAACTAAAAAAGCGACTATCTAGGTCCCTCATCTATTACCGTCGTGCACCAGAGGTCCAAAACCAGCCATGCAAGCACCAACATCCGACGTGGCACGCCACGGTGGCAGCTGAACACTGTGCCCGTGCCACATTCTAAAAAAAAACCCTCACGCTTTTGGAGGATGCCGTTTCAGAGAGAGGAAGGGGAACGGAGGGCGAAGGTGATGCGATCGCGGCACCCGACGCAGCGGGAAAGCAGAGCACCGCCGTGACCTCGCCGGAAGGGATTCACGCGTGGCGTCCCGGCCGTGTGAGATTAGCAGCACCGTGCTCCGCGAGCTCCGGCCATCACGGATCGAGGTGGATCCCAGCACCGTGCTCCGCGAGCTCCGACCATCACGAATCGCGGTGGATCCCAAAGACTGCGTTCGTGAGCGGGTCGAGCTCGAACGACGGCGAAGCCGTTGGAACCGGCTACTCATCTCGCTAGCACCGCTGTCGCCGGGCGCGCATGCGCTATCGCTATCGCCTCCTTGGTGGCCGCCCCCCGAAAGCTGCCGGCAGCAGATAGCCTCCTTGGTCTCTGACTTTCGACCGATGCCGTGATGGGCTCCTGCGCGGCCATGGAGAAGGAGCGCGTGATGGGCTCCTGCACGGCGGCGCCGGTCTTGGTAGGGAACCTATAGGAGCTCCCCGCACGACCCTCGCTGTAGGCCACGCCGCGCGATCGCCGCCACCGAGCAGCCAGGAGGTCCGTCCCGGGCGCGAACTCGGCGCTGCTTCCACGGCGTGGAGGGCTGCGCGTGGCCTCATGCGGCACACGCGTGCACATGGCCGCCACATTCGAGGCCTTGGTTGGAGCCTCTTGCCGTCACTTCCTCCGTGCCCTTGAGCCATCGATCTCCTCATTGGCGCCATGTGCAGAGAGGTGGCTAAAGATGTGCATGCAGCCCGTGGGCCAAAGGCCTGGCCCAAAGCACGGTTATTGGGCCCGACCAGACGCAGCACGGCACGCCCGAACCCTAACGGGCCCGTGCTGCCCAAAGCCGTGAGCAGCCGGGCTTGGGTTGAGGCCTCGGCCGGGCGGGGCACGGCACGACGCCCGCTTTACAACGGCCCGCCCGGTGGAGGCCCAAGCTGGAGGGGCTATAGCCTCCCCCCTTGGCGGACCCTCCTCACTCGATCACTCCGCCACGCCCGCAGCCTGTTCGCCATCGCCACGCCCACTCGCCTCGAGCTCAAACCCTAACCCTAATCCCCACCTCGCCTCGCCGGTGCGCCGCCGCCACGCCCACCGTCGACCACCTACCAGCTACTGGCCTCACTCGGTCACTCACGCCCTTGAGCAGCTTGACTGTTCGCCCGCCACGCCACCCTCGCCTCGAGCTCAAACCCTAACCCTAATCCCCACTCGCCTCACGGTCGTCGCCCCCGCCCACCGTCAACCACCTCCCAGCTACGCTGCCGCGTCCACCTCCCGAGGCTATCACGCTGACGCCGGATGTTGAGATCTCCTCTTCTCGATCTCTCCCCCCTCCTCGTCTCACTCTGACCGGATCTTGGGATCTCCTTTTGTCTCCCGCCTCTTCTCCGTCTCGTCTTCGTCTTCTTTTCCATTTCTCCGGCGTCGGGCTCCGTCTCCATGTAGGCAAGTACCTCTAACCCTAACCCTAACCCTAACCCTAGATCTAGTAGGCAATCACACGAACCCTAATCCATTTCTCGGTGTTTTTGATTCGCAGGTCGCGGTGTGCATTGTGGTGCCACAGGAGGCGTTGAGGAACAGTGCGGTTGGGTGGGTGCCATCTGCATGGTCGGCTCTCGAGTCCGGTGATGATGACGATGGTCCAACCATCAACGACGAGCTCAGGCCACATGGCAGATCCCCGATGACGAAGGCGACATGGGAGATCTTTGCTCATCTCTTGTTCGGTAGGAGTCTTTGCTCACCACCAGACGAGGCGATCGTGAGCTAGTGTTGCTTGACCACCGTGATGCAAAGATCTCGCTTCCGTCCACCACTAGTAAGCGCCGATCCTCGTCTGGGCTAACTTTGATGAAATCATAGAGACAAAGGGACGGTGAGGTACGTGTTGTTGCTATTTGTAAGCTCTGTAAGTCTCGTTTATGTCCGTAAATCGCTAATGGCACTTTGGTCATTTGAAAAGACATGCTCTCATGCAAGAAGAAAGCGAGCAAGCTAATTTGGTTCAAACTAGGCTTGCTTTGAATCTCGATGGGTCTTATAGGAACCGGGAATATAGGCTCGATGTTGCTAGAGCTGAGCTTTGCCGTTTGATTGCTAGATTAGATCCGCCTTTATCTATTGTCGACAATGATGCTTGGGATGATTACATTCAGCGTGCTCACAATCCTAGATACAAGAGAGTGTCTAGATTCACCACATCTAGAGATCTTTCTAAGCTTTTCAATGAAAAACGTGCATCACCTAAAAAATGAAGTAATGCCCGTGTGTCTTCTGTTTGTTTGACATCCGATATCCGTCCGCAATGCTAAGGAAGATTATATCATCGTTGTTGCTCACTACATTACTTCCGAGTGAGAACTTAAGAAAGTTGTTGTTGGCTTTAAACCGATTGAAGTGACTCATAGTGGTATTAACATTGCTGAAATTATTCTTTGGTGTGCTTGGAGATTGGGGACTACTTGACAAAGTTTTCTCTGTTAGCCTTGATAATGCATCGCTATGCTTACTTTGAGTCCTCTCGCTTCTTTGGTTACTTGGGTTATGATATTGATCCATTGAATCCTAGTAAAAAGATCTATCATGTTGTGCATCAGAGATGTGCTTGCCATATACTTAATTTGATTGTTAAATCTGGTTTGAAAAGGCTTAAACCACACATAGAGGTTTTTAGGTCTGCGCAATTAACTTTTACGAATTCATCTAATCATCGCATTGCACAATTCAAAAACTATCTTGCATTGCTAAGGGTGTGAGGCCTCGTAAATTTGCTTTGGATATGGATGTTAGATGGAACTCAACCTACCTTATGCTAAAACATCTCATGCCATATAGATCTGTGTTTTCTATGTTCATCAATTCTCAGTCTGGCTATCCTCTATTGAATGAACAGCATTGGTACATTGCTGACAAGGTATTGCAGTTCCTTGAGTTGTTCTATGATTCAACTGTTGTACTTTCTGGTGTTTATTACCCCACTAGTCCTTTGGTAATGTGCATCACATACTTGAGATTGCATCCCATCTGCATGAATTTGAACATGATAATACTCTTCTTCTTTCAGAAGTTGTGCCAATGAAGAATAAATTTCTTAAGTATTGGAAGAATGTACCACTGTTATACTCTTTTGCATTTATTCTGGACCCAAGGGCTAAGTTGAAAGGTCTGGGAAATGTGCTTGACTTGCTTGCTCTAAGTAACAATATGAGTTACATTGATTACTTTGCTGAGGTTAAATCTGAGTTGCATAAACTCTATGACAAGTATGAATCTAAGTTTGGTGCTGCTAGGCCAGCTAGAACCACCCATCCATCTGGACTGACAGGTAAGAGAAAGCAGGCATGGGGCAAAATTTTTGGAGGATCAGTTTCTTCTGGTCCTTCAAGTGCATCTGCAGGATCTATTGTGTCTCCTGGTCTCTCTGAGCTCTTTCATTTTACCTTTGACAAAGTGACAATGTTGTGGCATATGATGATGACTTTGATATCCTCAATTGGTGGCATGAGCATAAACTAACCTATCCAGTTTCTCGTACCTTGGCTAAAGATATTATGACTGCTTTCTGTATCAACTACTTCTTCTTGAGTCTACCTTTAGTCTTCTTGGCGGATTATTGAGGAGGCGACGGCGATTGGGCGTGACAGACGGTGGAGATGCTAATCTGTGTCAAAGATCGGGAGCTAGGTGAATCCGGTGGACAAGACATCGTGGAGGACAAAGAGCTAGAAGAATACTTCAAAGAGCAAAGACCTTGATGATGAAGTGGTGGATCATCTCTGCTGGTGATGGTTATTCTTTTGAGAGCCGAGAGCCCGAGAGGTCGTGAGTGCGACTTTAGTTGTGAGTTGAGACATTTGAGCTATTTGGTTTGTAATAACTTTGAACAATTTGAACATTTTAATTTATTGAGCTGGCAGTACTTTTTTCCTTTCTAGGGTTTTATCTCACGAGGTGTGAGTTTTACCTAGAAAGGTTTTTAATGAGTGACATTGCACAAACAAACTCAAATCTTTTGTCATCTGGTGTTTCGTGATTGTTGAATATGAATATGTGAACTGTGATTGTTTGAAGTTTGAAACTCGTGATTCTTATTTGTTTGAAATATGGTGTTTCTTGTGTAAGCAGGCCACGGGGCTGGCTCGATGGACCCGCCGGGCCGCTGGGTTCAACGGGTGGCACGACCCGATATTCGACCCACGGACCGTGCTCGGGCCGTCCACTGTGCACGGTGGACTGTTTCAGCATGGCGGCGGGTCGGCGGGCCAAAGGGCCCGAGCCCGATCGGGCTGCGTGTTCGCCTGAGCTCGGGCCGTGCGTGCCGTCTTGGCCCGTTGCTCATCTTTAGAGGTGGTCGCCTCTCGCCCATCGCCGTCTCTCGGCTTGTTAGCTTGCACGTGAGCATGTACGTGCAAATACACATGCACCTGCATGCATGTAGCTCAACACACTTCGGCGTCGTGGTGACGGGTTGATGGCGTGCGTGTTGACAGTTGAGCCGGTCGACCCCACACCCCCTGTGCATTCCTGTTGCAGGCCTCGAGTAGATGCATCTTGCATCTCCAGTGCTCCCTCGGTGCAGATCAACTCTCCGGTGTGACGACGTCCATTCCTTCTCCTTGCTCCTAGATAGATGGCGCCGAAGCATGAGCTTCACGTGTGGCCATGGCAGCCCTCGACTTGGATGTTTTGCCGAACGGGACGAAAGGAGCCGCGGCGGCGCTGGCAGACGACGGGAAGCTCTTGTCCGACCAGCACACTCTCTTGCGGCGAAAACGTGTTCGCGTGCTCCGTGCTCGATCGAGGCAAAGACCGGAGCGTAATCGAAAGGCGCACGCATGTTGAGGCACCACAGCGCCGACCTCGCTGGCTGGTTAGGCCTGCGGCATCCGAGGACGCGAGGTCGGCCAGCATGGCCATGGCCTGCTCACGGATGTCCCCGCCACTGCCGGCGGCAAAGTCGAGCAGCACCGCCACCACGAAGGCAGCCGCGGCTGTGGAGGACGCCGGCAGCGTCGACGCGGTGAGCGCGACAGCAATCTAGGCGGCGACGTCAAAGCCGGGGGGTGTCGGGGAGGAGATTGGGTAGAGAGAGGATGGACTTGGGAGTGAGAAAGAAAAAGAAAGCGGGGGTTTTTTTAGAATGTGGCACGGCCCCAGTGTTCAGCTGCCATCGTGGTGTGCCACGTCGGATGTTGGTGCTTACGTGGCTAGTTTTGGACCTCTTGTGCACGGCGGCAATAGATGAGGGACCTAGATAGTCACTTTTTTTTTGTTTGAGGACGCAGATGGGAATGCCCTAAAAGTTTATGGACCCAGGGTGCATTTTACTCTTTTTTTTTACTAGTGTTATTTCTCAAGGAAAAAGTATGATAGTAAATACTCCCTTCATCCTAGAGAGAGGATATAATTCTTGTTTTTCGAGAAGTCAATCAATTTTAGATTTAATTATTTTTTGAAAAAACTAATATTATAATACTGAATAAATATTATTAAATTAAGTGTAATTATAAAATACATTTTCATAACAATTTATTTAGATTCATAAATATTAATAATATTTTTCATAAACTTGACACATTCCAAAACCAAAATTGCATCCGGATAGAGGCAAATCTTGTATTTTAACCACAGTGACTACTGACCACAAGCTGATAATCTGGGTTTGCATATGTAAATCTGCTTACAAGAATTTTTCGTTGAGCCTTGATTAACGTAAGTTACTCATTCCGTCTAGTAAAGAATGTAATTATGAGATCCGCGTCGGTCAAACCGGCACAAGTTTAACCAAGTATATAGAAAATAGTATTAGTATATATGTCTCTAAATAAATTTATTATAAAAATATATTCTGTAACTAATTTAATGATACTTATTTTATATTATAAATATTGATATTTTTGATAAAAAATTAATTAAACCTTAAACTGTTTAATTTTTTAAAAAACGAGAATTGCATTCTTTTATAGATGGAGGGAGTACCTTTTTGTGATCTGACCATGCGCAATGGCAATGTTTCAGCTTGCCAAATTCCTTATATTTATTCATCCATTCTAACATGTACATGACAGATCTACCAAAACCATACAAGGCACATGCTTGCTTGTACACGACTAGTTCACGTACAAGTACACGCACACGCACGTACTCAGATACAGGGAAAACAGAGATTTTTTTTCCTAGTCCTAGACTAAAAGTTTGGAAACAGAGATTTTTTTTTTTCACCCTTCTTTCCCCGATTTTCAAGATGGCCTCGGAGGTTTCGCTTTGGCATGGGACGCGACAGCCCGCGACACGGCCTCGGCGAGCCGCCCCACCCGTGCGGCCACGTTTGGCGGCAGCGCTGGCGCCGCCCGCCGCGGCTTCCTCGGCCCCAGCAGCGCCCCCAGCATCTCCACCACCTCCTCCGCGCCCCACCCTCCCCTCTTCAGGTCGCCGCAGCACCGGTCGACCGTCAACGCCAACGCCACCACATTGACGTCGCCGACGCCGCTGGGACCCTCTCCCCTCATCATCTCATCCACCTCGCGGACGCCCCACCCGCCGCGCCTCAGCATGGAGGCCGCCTCCTCAAGGCTGGACTCGTGGCGCTGGCGCCCGTGGGGACCTCCAAGAACCGGTCCCCGGCCGCGGCGGCGTCGGTCCAGAACTCGATCCAGCGCGGGGCCCTGCTGGTGACGGAGTCCAGGCTCCGGCGCGCCGTGGACGGCGGCGGGACCGGCGCGGAGAGCTGGCGCCGGAGCGGGGCGCCGGGGGGTGGCTCGGCGGCGAAGGCGTGGAGGAGGAAGTCGGCCACGTTGGCGCCCGCGAACGCCACGCCGGAGTCGGACACGTGGAACACCGGATTGCCCACGAGGCAGGGCGTCGCCGGCACGTAATGCCGGCCGCACAGCGGGACGAGGGGCGGGGGCGGCGGCGCGCCTCGCCCCGCGCGCGGCCGGCCCGGGGCGAGGGGCAGCGTCGCGGCGACGACCGCTGCGGGGACCTCCTGCGCGGCGAAGCGGAGGAGGCGCAGCCCCGCGGGGGAGCGGTAGTCCGGGAAGCCGTCCCCCGACGGCAGGCCCAGCGCGAGGAGGTCGTGGAGGTCGGGCGGAAGCTGGACGCCGCCGAGCGCGGCCTCCGCGAGGGCGAGCTCGGTGGCGGAGAGGCCCGGGAGGACGGTCACCCCCTCCGCGGCGAGGTGGGCGAGAAGCGCGGATGGGGAGGGCGCGGGGCCCGCGGAGGCGGCGGAGGGAGACGGAGGCGCCGGGGTGCGCGGGGTGCTGGGTGCCGAGGCGCGGGTGGAGAGGCGGCGCAGGCCGGCGGCGTGGGAAGGCGGCCGCGGGAGGCCGTGCGTGAGCGACGGCCGGCGGTCGACGTCGACCATTGCGGGGTCGCCGGCGACGTCGGAGCACAGCAGAGGGCAGTGGTGTTCGGATGCGGAAGGGCAGTGGCAGTGGCGGATCGGGTGTTATACGGGGTTTGGTCGTGGGTCCCGCCCGGATCGGCCTTTGGCCGTTTGAACTGGGCCCACTCAGACGCCGATGTGTTTCCGCTGCGCTCAAATTTTCGTACCAACTTACATTTAATTAAACCCCAAGCCTTCTGGAAAAGAGAGTACATGATGTGCTCCATCATCAGCGCGGCCTTGTCAGCCTAGTTGCCCACTTGCCCTGGTACTTGTCGTCGATCTTCACCACCGGCAGTGCAAGTGCATGCACAATCACGAAGAACAGCGCATACAGCGCAGTGCTTGATGCATGGATGCACGCGTGCGAATCTGCATGACTCCTGCCTGGCAACGTAGCCAGGGTAGTTCGGAGCCTTGCCGCACTGGTCTACGATTAACACCTGGTTGATGGTGTATTCGAACGCGTCTTTGAATGACTCATTCACACATGCGGAGAGCACGCCCCTGGCGGGACAGGCGGCTGCTTGTTGGACCTGGACGTGCTGCCACTGGCGAGGCTGCCGGCGACGTCCTGCTGGTCGTCGGCTTCGGGCAAGGTGCCGGTGTACATGCCGGTGAACTCGTCCACAGTCAAGTAAGTCGAAGAACTTGTTGAGGCTGAGCTTCGCTTGCACGCCACAGCAGCGCCCGGTGTCTTCACTAGGCCTGCGGGACGTCTTTGAACCGCACCCCGTGCTGGTCATGGGCTACGACGTGAGAAGAAGAGAGAATTAGAGGGGTTAAATGTAAAAACACATGCTACGATGTCTTGCCATATTAGCTAGAAATGTCTACGTGTATTATATGGACCTGCAGTGCACCAGTTAACAAGTTTAAGGACCTAAAAGTGCATTTTTAGAGTTCGTGGACCTATGTGGCACACCCTTATAAGTTCAAGGGCCGCTGGTGCATTGAACTCTTAAAATTTCATAGTATAAGGTTTTGCAAGGATCTACTCCCTCCACCCTTTTTTAATCGTCGTTCTCGCTTCTCGAAAAATTAAATATACTCAACTTTGATTAAATATATAAAAAAATATTAATTTTATGATACATATATGAGATAAACTTAGATAGACCGTTGAATCTATTTTCAAGATAAACTTATATGAGATATAGATATTGCTAATATTTTTTACAAACCTAGTCAAACTTTAGAAAGTTTGACTAACACAAATACCGTACCGACACTTAAAAAGAGATAGGAGTACTCCATTACAACAACATTGTTTTTGCGTACGTGACCATTGTCAAGGTTTCTTATATATTCACTACACCATATCAAAACAACAATTATTGCATTGTTTCTATATATGTATTCCACTTTTTTGGGCATTCCCTAATCATGATTACGAAATTACTTGTAACACCCTCGGTGTTACACTGTAAATCATTCACTAAAACATATCATGAGCATCATGTTCATGTGTTAATGCATGTAATAAATTGTGTAGATCAATTTCTGTAACTCAAAACGATCAACTCGAATGCGAAACCAAAGTTAATTCAATAGTCATGTTATATCACTTAAGGTTGAAAACCAATTTTTATTAAGCAAAAATGCTATGAAATATATATGATACTTAAATAAAGTTTGAATTACAAACTTTGTAGATGACAATGAAATACTTGCGGTCGAAAAATGATATTACTAGCTAGTATTTCCACTAGCTTAGAAATCGCAAATGGAAGTCAATTTTAGCTCAAACACTTAGAAAATTTCAAGTCTGTCGACTGTTAGACACTGCTATATTTAGCAATTTATCGCGAGAGATTGGGTTAAGGAATACTGAAGTATTATGGCTTCTTTTAGTAGCCTAATGGACAACCTAAGGTGTCGCGAAGTGGGTTTGGGGATTTGAGCAACTGGTTAGAGGTTTCGAAAACTTTAAAACCCATGCACAACGCGTTCTCGGCCGACTTCCCAGTCTGTGCGCGGTCACCGGGCCCGCTGCCCCGACGTTGCGGCGTCGGCGCATGCACGCGCGCATGTGGCCACGCGCTGGCCAGCCGCTGCTGCCACAGGCTGCCCGCTCGGGTGCGCTAGCTAGCCGTCAACGCGAGCCGCCGCGCCCTGCCCCCCTGCGCCTAGCTGCCCGCTGCGCTGTGACGTTGCCACCGCTGTCCCGTCACCGTGCTGCATGCCTGCTCACTACGTCGTGCCTCGCTGCCATTGCACCGCCATATGCTCCTGCACCGCGTCATTGCTGCCTTGCTACCGCGCACGTGGGATGCCGCCTTGTGGCGCCGTCGGTCCGCCATTAATTGTGCCGCGGCACGCGGGCCAAAGCCAGCCGTGGCCGCTTGTGCTCGTCGCTTGCGCCTGACGTGTGTACCCCGGTTGCGACGCCCGTGTCCCACCAAAGAGCGCTAGCCGCATCACTGCTCGTCGTTGTTTCCACCGCTGCGCCCTCCCCTGCTTCCCGCCGCGGTCACGTCGTGACCCCGGTGAGCCAGGCGCGGGAGCTTGCCTTAAATCTCACATGCTTGTGTCTCCGCCTTGGTGTCTGTGTGCCAACTATCCCCACCCCGCCGTGAATTGCGTCACGACGTGCTACAATTTGGAGTTTTCCCTCCGCCGTGCCATTAAGGCCGGGTTCGGCCGTGGCCGAGGGCAACCACTCACCGCACCATCCCACGACCAGCCAACTGTGCCACAAGCTTCGCCTCCACCTCCACTGCACCATGCATGCCTCACTTGCACCTCTACCGCCTCGCCGGTGCTGCTGACGCGGCCGAGCTGCACGGAGCACCGCCGCCTCCCCCCGGCCGCATGTGGCCAGCCCTACTCGGGATATCTCCAACCGAACCATCACCGCAGCCGTGATCGGGGTAAGCTAGTGAAGCTCTCATGATAGCCAGTAGCTGCGCGGTGGTCTAGGGTGGCCGATACGGTCGTGCCACCGTCGCATGCGGCCGCTCACCGTGGTTGTCACTCCTGCAAGCTCTACCGCTACCGTAGCTTTGGCTAGTGTAGGCGCTAGGGCTATAGGTGCAGATCGGCCCGCTATCTAGGTCGGGGCAGGTCCCGGTTGGCCGGCGTGGCCATCTAGTGCCGCGTTCGCCACACCAGCGCACGCAGGGGTGGCCAGGGACCTGGCCGTGGTAAAGGCGATAGATTGCAGGGTCCTATCCGCATAATTTCTCTCTCGAGAAATAGTGCTGTGGACTGTGGGTTGATTCAGTCTTAGCGCGAGGGCGTTTTTACGAAGTTGGCAGCGCGCGCGGGTCGCCCGGTCGTGGGCCACCTCATGGTGGGCCACGTCCGCGTGCGCCGGGCGGTGGTGAGCCACATAGTGGAATTCGTTTTTCCTTTTCTTAAGGAATTAGAAATAGCTTTATATTTTAATTTCTGAGCTGAACTTTGAAAATTAATATCAATTCACATAGATCTCCAAAAATTATGAAATAAACTTGTTTAGTTCCTAAAAATATTGTCTATCTGATGGCATAGTTAGTTTATGCATGTTTGAGTTGATACTGGGGCCTATTAAATCAATTGCGAGTGTTTAGTATTATTTAGGTTAATATTTATAGGAATTTTTGTGGCAAATGGGTAATAGTTTTGTCCATTAAATTTTTAGGTTCATTGTATTATTATGTGCTCACTGTAATTTTTTAGCCTTATAATAGGTTGATAAATAGGATAGCTAAGTACTACTTGTTTTAGTATATATGAAATCGTAAATAAAGTAAGAAATGCATTTTTGGTTGCTAAGATAATACTTGAATGTTTCATACCTATTTAGTGGAAAGGATGGGTAGCTTAGCATCTTAGTCATTAGAGTTAACTTAGTAGCTTGGTAGATGTATTGTTATTTTAAGAGCTGCTGTTGCTAAAATGCTAAGTGTTGCATCATCATTGCATGTATGTAGAGAACACGTTGGTGAAGTTCGTGACCGCTGGAGAGCAGGAATACGAGGAGGTGATTGAGGAGTACAAGGAGGAGGTCTTCGTACAAAAGGAAGCCTCAAAGCCACCGACGACTGACATAGCTGACCACCCACCTACCCAAGGCAAGCCCCGGTGCATAACCCTTATTTTGAATAATCGCAGGATATATATATATATATGTGATTGGCATTTACGTTATAGGTATTTTATGGAAACTACATGCATAGATAACCTACCTATAAGTCCTACTAGCTTAGGTCGAGTAGCTGCTATGCTTAGGCTATCGGTAGCATGAGTAACCTATCATTACTCATAATAGGTGATTATTACTACCATTCTCATGATAAAATGATGAAAGGAAATGGAGACCGGGCAGAGATATGGTATGGGTATTGGTGGGTGTAAGAGGTTGTGTCCCGCGACCAACGGAGCATAGCTTGGTTACACTGTTTTTCCTGTCCGTGTCGGTTAAGAATCGGCCGTTGCATTGGGTTCTAATCAAGTCACAGGCTTATTATCCTGAGCACATACTTGTTTATGGGAGTAGGGAAGGCTCGTTGCTCTCTTGTCGTGGGTTCCGACTCTTTCCGGACCGACTGATTGGAGGTGGGGATGGTGGAGGTCTAAGCACCACACTGAGTCCAGGACTCCGGTGTGGGGGTTTGGAGTACAAGTTTGGACGGGAACCTAGACCCCTCGACAGGAGAGTGGTGGGTTGGTCCTACTTGTGCTTGGGGTAAAAGCGGGCGTGTGTTTCGGGTACTGTAGATGTTTCACCACCGATATCCTGCCACGGGGGTATCCGGGGCAGTTTGTTCGGGCTTCAGCGTATGCAAAACTCGACGGTAAACACAAGAGACAGTCGATTTATCCTGGTTCAGACCCTCGACCGTGATCGAGTAATAGCCCTACGTCCAGTCGGCGTTAGCCTTTGCGTTGGATTGGTTGTAAAGTGTTGTCTCTCTCTTCCTCTAGGAACCCTGCCCTCCTTTATATAGTCAGGTGGTCAGAGTCCTAGTTGGTTTACAATGAGAGTTCCTAGT